TTAACGTGAGTTTGCTGTCCGTCCTGTTGAAGAAATTAAAGTGAGTGAACTACCTGTGCATCTCCTGTGCTGCTTCCTGCCAGTTTCGTCTGCTGTAAGTGGCGGCTATCCACTGTCGCTGCCCACCACCAAGTGAAAGTATAAAAACACAACGTAGGATAACTATTTTCGTGGTAAGCGCCTACATAAATTTGGTTCCAACATAATTCCGAAAAGAATACCGAGAAAATTAAATTTTGAGTGAAATTCTAAAGGGATTTTGAGGAAAATTTCAAGAGAGTACCGATAATTTCTAGTTCATTCCGAGAATAATCTCTGGATAATACTGAAGAAATTCTTCTGAAACTCCAATGGAATTTTAGTTCCAAGGTGTTTTGAGTAAAAGAAGAGTTCTAAAAATAATTCCAGAGGACTTCTGAGAAGAATTTCAAAAAAGCTCATAGAGTTTTAAAAATTTCGAAAAGAACCTCAAGGAATTATGAGAATGGACTTTTTCAAAACTGTACAAAGTTTAAAGACAGCTTTTGGATTCCCTAATTGAAAAGTGGGTATTAGCATAGAGGTAACTCTAAGACTAGCAGGTCGCGAAGAAACGTGCTCAACTTTTTGGCTCAGCTCTGGTACTCTCTTCGGTCCCAAGCTAATCGATTCACCCCTCGAAACATACGAAAATCCACTAACCCCTCATTGTAGCTGTCAAACTTTCATAGCTAATCAAAACAAACATGGTGTAGTACTAGAATTTCGACTATAATGGGGTACTTTAATCGTTTGCTTGGGACCAATAGGCTAGTCAAGTAGTGAGCCAATTTAAAATCGTTAGTTTCGTATTGACGAAGAACTGGACCACCAAAAAAAGAGGTATGATTGCTGCTAGTAAGGCAAAGCGGCTACAAAATCGCTATATAATGGAACGTTTCATCGGTATTATGCGCATACTTTGCAAAGGTTGCCGACCACTTCGTGAACATTCGGAAAGTGTGCCACCCAATTGGTGGCTAACTACGATCCTGTGCTGGAAAAACACTTGGCGGAAGGTGCCAAAAATTGCCAGTACACAAGCAACCGTATTCAAAATGACATATGTAATGTTGCGGAATATTGCGAAATCCTTGCGAGGAGAGCCAGTGGTAATCATTGCAGATGAGACGAGCGATTGTGGGCACCACGAGCAGTTGGCGATTGTCATCAGGTATATTGATAATGATCGACCGACGGAAACATTCGTGGGTGTGAGACGGGTGTTGAAAACAGACGCGACGACCATCTTCAATGCTATTGCTGAGGTCCTGACAGCGATGCAGATTTCTTAGGAGCAGGTGTTGGCAGTATATTTAGACGGTGCCAGCCCAATGGCTGGCAGCACTGCTGGAGTAAAAGCCAAGTGCAAGGACGAAAACAGCAATATACTTTTATGAAGAGCTTTGAGTGTGTTGGTTTATTTTCTTTTGACAGATACGCGTATTTCGTCTACTACTTGCAGACTTCATCAGTGCCAAGTACTGATCAAGATTGTATTGATCAAGAGCAATATACTGTTTGTCCACTGCTATGCGGACTGTTTGAACCATGTACTTGTCGACGCAGTGTGCATACGAAAGAAGAATGCGATTCTTATTGGTCATTCATGTCGGTTTGTCGGTGCTATCACCACCATCTGACGTGACTTCAGCTGAATCCAACCACCAAGGCAACAACATTGCAGCAAATGTATCATTTCGGTTAAAGCCCTACTATTGCAACCATTTGACGAACTGATCATCATCGACATTGTCGATGGGATTAAATTGCCAATTCCATTGGCTGTCTGAAAGCAGTTTCCATTGAAGAAGATGAACCACCACCGGAGTAAAAAATAAATAAAATTAGCTAAATTGAACAGTAGAGAAACAGTGGTGGGTGGACATCACCATCTCCCACGCACTTTGGAGTACTCCCCATCCCCAGATTAAATGCACCATAGAAAAACAATTGCCCCTCCTTCACAAGATTCCTGTGCACGCTAGTGAAAGAACTTCAAGGCAGTTTCATTAACTTCAGGAAAAGTTTGAAACTTTCAAGTAGTTCTGAAGACTTCAGAATAGTCCATTCTGATTTCCTTTGAAATATTCCTCAACATTTTAATAAAGCTATCCTCCGAATTCAATTTTCTTTTAGTTTTTCTCGGAATTACCTTGAAATTCTCTCCATTGAGAAACCCTTTGGAAAAATTCTCTGAATATTCATTGAATTCATTTCAGATTTTCTTATGACTCTCACTCTTTCCATTGGAATTCTACTCACATTGTAAGTCTCCTTCGAATTTATTGATATTTCTCCTCACAAATTCCTTAGATTTCTTCTCATAATTCGTTTGGCGATTCCGTCTGAATTTATTTTCCGAATCCCTTTGAAGATGTTTTGGAGTTATTCTCAGATTTAATTGTAATCCTCCGTATAGCATTTTTAAAAAGATTCCAATGACTTATGCTCCAGATTTTTTTTCTCCCACAAACACAAAATTATTCTCAGAAGGCCCTTGGATTTTTTCCCTGAAGGAGTTGTGCTCCTCAGAAATTTTCAGAGTTTTCATTAAATTTTGCTTTTAATTCAATTCAGGGTTTCTTGAAGTTCTACTCAGAACTATCAGGCTTCACAAGAAATCTCAAATTCCTCAGGACTACCTTAAAAGCAGATTGCATTTGATGTTTTTTCTGAAAGATTTTTTTCCCAGAACTTCCTTGAAATGAGGTCTTTAGAAATTATATTAAAATTCCATGTGCTTTTAAAACTGTGCATGGATATTATAGCTTTTAAGTCCAAAACTAGTTCAAATCTAAAATTTATAGAAAATATGCATGTTAAAAAAAACAGTTCGAGTCTCTGTTTTTTTTTAATTTATTTGTTACTGAAGATTACTCTACTGTGGATCTTTAAAGTTCAAAGTGTGAATGAAAATAACGAGAAAAATTAAATGCTTGTATTTTAAAATTCATTCATTTCTTTAAAATATTTAGTAAAAAAAATATTAAATTCTCTGAGCCTTACAGGTAGTTTGAGGAAATATTAAACTTCATGAGGATTCCCGGTTTTCCAGGTTTCTGCAGTTAGTAGACACTCTGACTATTACCGTGTTTTTTTTTATTTAACTAGTTCGTTTATTAGGAAGGCTCAATCGCATTAGCTTTACGGAGCCGATAGTTCATTGTTCTTTGTTTGTAACAAAATTCACTTAATTCTATGTCTAGTAGGAGTTGGGCCGAATACTCGCGGCTTACTCGAGGTTAGAGAGGTACATTGTCGAAGGATAGGATCAGAGGAGGTGCTAGAGGGTAAGGTTTCGCTATCTCATCAGAGCGTGGTCGCCAGTATGAACGGTAGGTTCTAGTTTCGTCTGGAGTTTGACAGGCTATGGTGACCAGTGGGCGACGATGAGACTCATCGAGATGGGAGGACAAGACAAACAAAAACTAATAAAGAGAGACAAAAGACAAAGGAGTTAAATTCTTAAACTAGACATTTTAAGAAACACATAAACCGACTGCATATAGTAGATATCGCGAGTTCCCAACATGTCTCTGATAGGAACATAGGGTTGTCTTCCTTGGGCCTCAAGCCTCAAGGGTATTCAACAGTCGCTCTCTGGTGGCGTAATTATCCGTACATTGCCAAACTGCGTGATCGATGTCATCGTAACCTTTTCCACACCGACAGATGTTGCTGTCCACGAGGTTTATTCTTTTGAGATGAGCATGTTGCGAGTAGTGGTTGGAAGTCTACTCATCACGCGAATGAAGTCACGACTCAAGTCCATGCCTTTAAACCACGCTTTCGAAGAAACATTAGGAATAATTGAATGTAACCACCGTGGGTTTGGCCATAAACTTTCTATTGAATCCTTCGCTTTAAAGGTTCATATCATATATAACTGTTTATGAGTCTAAAACATCAAACATTTATTTTCTCTTAGGTCACTTTTTAGTCACTTTTTAGTCACTATTTTTACAACTAAAAGTCACTATTTAGTTACTTATTTCTCTTACATGGTCACTAAAATCACTATTTTTGTCAGCAGTGATCGCTACCAGCCCTGTGAGTTGGGGACCCAAAATTCATTACGCGACATATCAAATTATATCAGAATTCAAAAACAAGATTTTTATCTATGCATACCATGACTAGTTCCCCTGATTCAAAATAATTCCTCGGGATATTTTCCAAACATCCCGGAACACCTTCAATATATTATCGCTCGATGCCTTAAGCTTAATGAACAGTGGCAATCCACGTAAGTTTTACGGCATCACTCACATCGCCAAACAACTCTATTTCCTAACAAATAAATTGTTCTGAATTGCACCACTTGAACCTTGTTCGGAAATGTGTTGTTCAAATATTCAGCAAGACATAAACCCACGTCATACCTTCAATATTCCAATGTTCGCTCCTGCGAAGCGTGGCCAAACGAGATACATCTTTAATCAAATTGGAAATATTTTATGCGATCATCATCTTCCCCCTCATCTAGATTATATAGCAGAAAACTTATTCCATCTTGAATCGAACAACTCGTCCAAATGGTGAACACAGTTGTTTAGTGTAGGCCAGTTCAAAATGTACCCCTGGGGTAAAATGACCCAGCGTGGTTTCTCGTTGCTTTTCCATTATCATTTCGTGAATTTAAGATGCAACGTTGCTAGTTCAGTACTTGAACTAGCATTTCGGCACATAACATCCCAGAACTGCACGGGGCCATTTTTCCCCATTGGTGCACGATGGACCGTTCTCCCCTGCATCTGTTCAGCCCCAGTCACGCTCTGCTGATGGCCACCTACCTACGAGGTACCGAACCGCTATAATTCCAGCATCGAATTCGTGTTGTCCAATAAACTTCATCCTTACTTTTCCGCTCATCCTTCCAGCCTTCGTCTCAGCGAGATGCAAAGACACTCGGAAAAACTTTTCATCCGACCCTCGAAGTTGGTCTTGAATATTCACGGTGTCTTTTTTTTTTCTTGCAGCGATGAAGGCCGCTATCCTGATCCAGCGCTGGTACCGGCGGTTTCTGGCGCGAATTGAAATCCGCCGCCGCTACACGTGGACCATCTTCCAGAGCATCGAGTACGCCGGAGAGCAGGACCAAGTTCGGGTAAGTTTGTTTGCAGTTGTTATTTTTTTTTTCGTGTCTGTGTGGATGATTTAGCACTGGGTTGGGTTCACTTTGGGATCATAAATTTTTGGTTAGGTAGGGTTGGACGGCTCAAAAATGCTCCCTGGGGTAAAATGGTTTCAAATGATTTTTCAAAGCTTTCCCATTCTAAATTTGGGTATTTCTAGCTTTTCTGCACATTTGATCCCAGAAACAGAAATGGGAAAGCAACGAAAAAATCGCCTCGGGTTAGAATTACCCCATGGGTGCATTTTGTACCTTTTGGTCTTATATATCAGCTTCTGCTGGAGTTTCTATTGGTCATAACCATATCAGATCGGACGGAGAAATGGTGATTAGTTGGTGGTTGAATTAGTTGGAATTGGTTGTGTTGTCCAATGTTTGTTTAATAAGACCGTACATTGCGTAGTTGCTCCTCCGTGATTGATCCGAACTAATGCACTTGCACAGATAACCAAGTAGATGGTGCATGGGATTAGCTTTCCATTTTCAATGTACAAGCACACCAATTCCATCTATTTATAGATCAATCACAGCGCCGGCCACGTCCTCACGGTCTTTGGGGAAGGATGATTAGTTCGACGTCCGTTATTACTATAGACCAAATACACATCTGAATTTCCACGGCTTAAAGCAGAATTTGTTTTTCATTTAAATCTAGTGAGGATAGAATAAGGCAAAGTGAGAAATTGCAAAAGGAAGGGGATGGGCCTGGTAATAAACTATCGACCTTCTGCTCAGTAAGAAGAAACAGTAACCACTGAGTTACCAAGCCTCGTCTTTGGTTGTGTTGTCCGATGGTAAGGAGCTATTTCTGTTTGTTTATTTATTTATTGTTTTGATAATGCTCAATCGAATTACCTTTACAGAGCCAAGGATTCTTGTTCACAATACAAAACATCTTTAAACTATAGTCAAAAGGTACAACACAATACACACTTTATCTTCCGCTATCCAATAAGCCTCCTTCATCAGAACGGGATCCGCTTCCAGTGGTTTCATTGTATGGCAGTATCGCCAACGGAGGGCAGCGCACTTCCATTGCAGCAATGAACGCAAAACGTGGTAAGCACACACACTCATCACGAAACGGTCGCGAAACAACTGCTGATGAAGAACAATGGATGAGGACCACACAATGGTTACTGTAGAGTAAACAGACGATCGTGTGACACACATCAAGAGTAGTCTGCTTCAGTCAACAGCCGAGTGAACTCTCAATAAGCAGCTATGTTGCATACCTAGGGCTTAGATCTAATTTTGGGCCTACTATTTAAGCACAACCCGCCCGTTGCCGCTGTTTTTCGAGAGGATTTTTTCTTTACAAAATTGAATGTTTTTACTGCAGATGACTTCTAAATTTATTTACCTCTCCGTAGGTACTAAAGATTTGCTAAAGAGAAACAGATTGTTGAGATATTGTTAAAAATCTAACACTGCATCATGACCCCAAACTCGGCCTACGGATTCTAAATTCGGCCTAATGCATTGAAACGCCTTTCAAACGCCATTCAAACGCCATTGAATTCACATCGGCCTATCGTATAAAGATTGTTTAAGATAAAGATAAAAAATGATTCGGTTGCAGCCAGGGGTTGAAACAGTTGACGTTTTTTACTACACTCGCTTCGTTGTCATGCGCGACAGTCTTTTTGTATTCGTACACTCATGCTCTACCGTCATCTCTCTCACACAACACAACCGGTAGAATAACATTCGAGCAAAAAGAAAATTATCAAATAACTATCATATGACATTGAGTGACTTTCTTTTAATTCCTCAATTTGGTGTAAATTAAGCCATTTCTTATTAGAAATGTTATTCCTAGGACATCATTACTTGCTATTTTCAGAATTTACACCAGCACAACATCAGCAGCTCTTATTATGAGAAAAAAACTAAAATACATACATTTGTGACGGTCTTCGGCGACAGTGTCGTATGACAGAGTCTGTGATATGACATTTCAGTTTGGTACTGTACTATGATAGCTTGTTTTGTAAGTGCCGGAGACAAAGGCAGTCGATTATCATAGAACATGTGTCGACTACCGGGATCGCTTACAAGACTGGTTGCAGCACTTCTTTTGATTTTGGAGAATAATGGGTGCAAACATTCATTTCACTCATTCGGTAGCATTTGAACTAAAGTATCGTACCAAATACATAATTGACTTGTTAACTCTGAAACAATGGATTTATTTGATGTTTTCTGCTCGATACGCCCAAAATAGGCGATTAGGCCGAAGTAGTGCTCTAACCTTTTAAACCGATGCAAAAAATTGAAATTTTCGCTACAAAGTGGTCAAATGGTTCCAAATCGGGTCCTTATTATGCTCCAAATATTTGAACTTATTTAGTAAGAAACTGAGTTGGCACAAACCATTTGTAGTTTATATGGAAATTACTATGGGAACCAATTTTTTTTTGTGCATACCTTTATAAAAATTCACCATATCACTCTACTTTAAAAACTGATAGCTGTGCTTGTAGGAAACTTTCTCAGCTACGAATTTTTAAAAGACCACTTTTCGATAAAATGTAATAAACGAAAACGATTAATGATTCAAGTCACTGGTGTCGTATGATTATGCTCAATCAATTAATTAATTAATTTATCTTTATTAGGGAGGCTTTCAGCCTGTGGCTGGTTCGCCTCCATGCTCAATCAACTGTTCAGCAGCGTACAATAGAGCACAACAATCATGACCACTGTGTCACACTGCAGTGTTGCGAACAAAACAGCTGCAAGATCATGGCATAAGATTTGTCTAAAACAAAGGTTTGGCTGAAAAATGATCTTCTGAAAAGGTAGCTGAGAAATTTTCCCATAATAATAGCTATAGAACTTTTCAACGGGGTAATATGGAAAAAGGCTAGACGACTATGAAAAATAAAGGAAGGATTTCCCATACAAATTTCTATATAAACTTCAAATGGTTTGTGCCAAGTTTCTTACCAAATGAGTTCAAATTTTGTGAGGCTAACAAGGACCTAAGGTGATCATACATTTTATGCCTCAGAAAATCCCGATGGTGCCGACTGGGATTGAAGTCAACATAACATGAAACTTACGAAGAGAAAATTTCAAATTTCGCATTAGTCTAGTACTTATCCAGAAGCTTCCCAAATAAGTGCTTATGTTAACAATAACATGCATATTATGGTTCAGATCTTTCTAGAATAATCTAAGATAGATCCCGGTATTGATATTTGTATACCTTACACACTTAGAAAAAATTACCGACTTCGGTAATTCATTTACCGAATTCTCAATAGCTGACCGGTCGGTAATGTGTTCGGTAATCGAGAACATTACCGAAAAATCTGTAAACTGAATCAGCAAAATAAGCTGTCAAATTTACCGAACAATCGGTAACGTTTACCGAAAAAACAAACTTGATTTGTAATTTATTTCACCGGAGAACTGTAATTTTGGAGTCGATATGGAAAATGAAAATTACCAAAAGATCTGTAATTTATTAAAAAGTCTACCGACTTAAATTTAATGCGCTGGGTGTTTTTCGGATTTTATCAATTATAAAAATTAAATACAAATATTCAGATGAATATTTTTTTTGAGCTCATTCAATGATGTCTCTGATTCACGGGTAGAACTTGCTTCATCGCATTGAGTAGGCATTTCATAACCGATGAAAAGGGTTTCCCCGAGTGGATCGTTTCCCTTCGTGGTACTTCCGGCTGGAACAAAGCTCTCAAGTGGATGCTTTTCAATGATATGGCGTTTAGAAGAATAGAAATTTCTATATCTTGCATCACATTTCTGATATGTACAATCAAAAATTGTGTTTGCCGGTATAAAATCTTTCTTTTTTATGTGGTCATTGATGAAAAAACAAGCAACAGCATCGGCCATCTGTAACAATGGGTATTTATTTAGATAACGAAATATCATTACTTACGGAAAATATCTACGATTCGCTCATCTTGGTGTTGCAGCTGGTCCATAACAGCCTCCATAATTGAACTTTTTATTTTTTCACAGGTTTCCACTTACAATTTTTTTTAAGAAGGTCGAAAATCACAATATGGTGAATTTGACGTTTCTCACTGTGAAAACTACCGAACTCGGTAATGGAACGGTTTGTTTACCGAAACTTCAGTAAAATATTTCACCGAAGTCAGTGATGAAGCTGATTTACAGATCTGCCGGTATTTTTTTTTACCGTTTTCGTTGAATTGAAATCAAATCACCGAAATTCGGTCATTTTATTTACAGTTTTCAGCAATAGAGCGAGAAAATACCGAAACATCTGTAATTTTTAGGATTACCGATCTAAGAAGGTGATTTTTTTTACCGAACTCAGGGTCTCTGTTTAAGTGTGTATGAAATTTCCAACAATATGTTTAAACATTTTTGGAGAACCAAGGTTCGATATTGGCGTCACGTCTCGAATGTTTTCATTTACGAAGACAGTAGGCTCTGCCGCGGTCGGTTAGCATTTTAAGGAGCTGTCACGATGTTTCGGGTTTTTTTTTCCGCGTAAAGGATTTTTCGGTATTTAAAAGCCTTATTAGAAGTGGTTTTGGTACGTTTATTCGGATGATGTAGTGTTTTGGTGTTCTTTGACTATATGTTTAGTATTACTTCTGAGTGAAGTCAACGATTTACATAGTTGAAGATGCTCATTTAAAATAACAGACTAAAGTGGTAATGTTTATACGAAAGATGAGGAGAAAGTATAGAATTGATAGTTCCGTTTAGAGTACGACAGTGTGAAAATTGCAAATAGAAGTAGAAAGCGAGCTAGACAACTTTTAGGAAGATACAAATCAGTTTTATCATCTCTCTTTACCAAACTCCCTCTTTGGAGAGGGATGGTGAAGGGTGTCCCCCCCCCCCCCCGCCACCACTGTCGGTATTGTTGGTGTTGTTGATTCGGTCGTTTGTTTGTTTAATAGGAAATTGATTTTTTTTCCCCGTCGATCTTGTTTTCAGTACTGAGTACCAATGGTACC